CACACGGACAGACAGAGACCTAATTATAAGTCCCCGTTTTCGGACTTCGTTCGAACGGGGACTAATAAAAAATATTTACCGTAGCAGTGAAAATTGAAAGGTTTACAATAATTCACAATAAAACACATTTTATAATACTTTGTGATGTTATTCAAAACCTACCTGGTACTTACTTTGTGATGTCATTCGTTACACTTTGTGATGTCATTCACCTCACTTTGTGATATCATTCAACTTATTTAGTGATGTCATACCTCACTTTGTGATGTCATTCACTTCACTTTGTGATGTCATTCACCTGACTTTGTGATATCATTCACCTGACTTTGTGATATCATTCACCTGACTTTGTGATATCATTCACCTTTGTGATGTCATTCATCTCACTTTGTGATGTCATTCATCTCACTTTGTGATGTCATTCATTTCACTTTGTGATGTCATTCACCTCACTTTGTGATGTCATTCACCTCACTTTGAATATCATTCAACTTTGTGATGTCATTCAACTTACATTATGATGTCATTCACCTTTATGATGTCATTCACCACATTTGTCATGTCATTCACCTCACTTTGTGATTTCATTCACCACACTTTGCAATATCATTCAACTTTGTGATGTCATTCAACTTACATTGTGATGTCATTCACCTCATTTGTGATGTCATTCACCTCATTTGTGATGTCATTCACCTCATTTATGATGTCATTCACCTCATTTGTCATGTCATTCACCTCATTTGTCATGTCATTCACCTCACTTTGTCATGTCATTCACCTCACTTTGCAAATATTCAACTTTGTGATGTCATTCAACTTACATTGTGATGTCATGCACCTCATTTGTGATGTCATTCACCTCATTTATGATGTCATTCACCTCACTTTGTGATGTCATTCACCTCACTTTGAATATCATTCAACTTTGTGATGTCATTCAACTTACATTATGATGTCATTCACCTTTATGATGTCATTCACCACATTTGTCATGTCATTCACCTCACTTTGTGATTTCATTCACCACACTTTGCAATATCATTCAACTTTGTGATGTCATTCAACTTACATTGTGATGTCATTCACCTCATTTGTGATGTCATTCACCTCATTTGTGATGTCATTCACCTCATTTATGATGTCATTCACCTCATTTGTCATGTCATTCACCTAATTTGTCATGTCATTCACCTCACTTTGTCATGTCATTCACCTCACTTTGCAAATATTCAACTTTGTGATGTCATTCAACTTACATTGTGATGTCATGCACCTCATTTGTGATGTCATTCACCTCATTTATGATGTCATTCACCTCATTTGTGATGTCATTCACCTCATTTATGATGTCATTCACCTCATTTGTGATGTCATTCACCTCATTTATGATGTCATTCACCTCATTTGTGATGTCATTCACCTCACTTTGTGATGTCATTCAACTTACTTTGTGAAATCAAATGGTCTGGGCTTCTTCTTTGTCTTGATAGGTTTTAATCTGCAATTACCATCAGCTGCTGTTGCTTGGTAACCTTTTAAAGCAGTAATTTGTGATTGCAGTACACTTATGTGGTCAATCAACTCCTGTAAACAACAAAACACAATTCCATATTTTAATGTTTTCTTGTCACCAGAAGAAATGGTTTCTACCAAGAAATCGTGTGATTTGAATTGAATACCATATCATCACAGTTAAAACAGATCAATATCAGAGCTACTAATATGATTATTCGAGGTAATAGGTGAAAGAATTTTTCTGAAACATAATTGAAATTTGAATATCATGGCATTGTAATTGAAAGCATACGGTGGCAGGGATTGAAATAGAAAAGCATGCATAGTTTGCATGTTAGTTTTGATAATTGCCTGCTTAAAGCTCAATGCAAAATGCACCAAATATTGTTTAAACATTATTGAGGAAATTTAATTGTTAATTCACTGTCATCAGACTGTACCTGTATGCAGCTAGCAATCGTCTGTTTTTGATTGTGTTGTTTTGGGACCATATGGCCTTATATAGGGGTCATCAAAACACAAACGCAGTATAATTACTTTGACTATCATACCTGTGGCTTTATCTGCAGTCATGGATAAGTGACTGCATGAGGCAGTCAGTAGACAAAATTTTTGGATTTTCAATTTTTTTTAATCTACACATATTTACCAATAATATTGACTTATTTTTTTATTTATTTATTTTCTACATGTTGCATGCACGTCATGTTTAGTGTGTGCACCAATATATTTCAAACCTTGAGTAGGGATCTAGATACTACCAACACTAGCACTGTAAGAGCCGATGGTTTATAGTGAAGATGCTGATATCACCTGCTAGAGATCATAACCATACATTTCAGGCAAAATGTCTGATTATATGGAATAACTACCTAAGACAACAATCATCAATTGATATGTGACAGATTAGGTTATACAATCAACTATTTAAGTATTTTATGAATTTAAGAGAAGACATTATTATTATTATCAAATTAGGCCAGTGGGTGCAGGCAAGTTATATGAGGACTGAATCCAAATAAACTGATCAGTACTATTTGAGTTAAACAGCGCTACAACAATGCTGGAAAATCACAGTAGTAGTGACTTTCCTATGTACCCCCACCTCATATTCTAACTTTAACCCAACTCCTACCCTATTCAAGTAGCCTACTGAAAATAATTGTATAATCCCATCTTGAAGACACCATGCTGGGGTGAACTTGGAGGTGATTAGTTTTTGAGTGGGGTTTGCCTGATATTTGTGCAACATAGGTTGCAGCATTTGCCAAATGTAACAACGCTAATTTCCAAATTCCTCTCTAAACCCCGGAGGAAGAGACGGACTAAAGCGCTAGCTTTCACCTATTTTCAAGTTAGCCCTGAGTATTTTCAAGTTTGATGATGTGAGTTTGTCTATCAGTACACAGTGCACAACTGACAATACATTAACAGCTATCGAAACATATATTTGAGACTCACTTCCTTGGAGCAGGCAAGTAAATCTTGTCGACGATCTAGAGTAATTTTACTACTACCACATGTTCGGTCCACTTCATCTTCCATCGTGGATTTGGTTCTACCGGTAATAACAATGAATGGTGGCCATGGTGGCTGTAACCTTTGAACTTAAGTTTCTAGCTTGACGTGGTTCTGAAGCAATTACAAATATTTAAATGTGTTTTGTCAAAACGATTCAACAGAATGCTATTACTGTGTGTCTGTAGAAACCGAACTGAATCGAACGAGTATAATTCTCTTGCGAATACCGTAACAAATAAATGCCATCTGCATCCCCATTTATCCACCACAGAG